GGTTCCCTTAGATGTTCCCCATAGATGTTCCTGGTGCATGCCATCTCTCTCCTCCTTTATAGTCCTCCTCCGCCAATCCTAACTCGGCTGCCCACACGCCGAGTACGCTGCTCTCCAATCAGGAGCAAGTCCTACAATTTATTAGTTGAACTGGAGGCAGCTGTGCGGAAGCTGTTTACTTCTCTCCCAGCGCCATATTGTGGGAGAGCAGATGCATAGAATAAGTCTTAATTCGAGTAACTTAGTCTAGTCCGGATTGCTCCCCACAATCTGTGTCCAGGAATTTATCTACTTCTCATAGGCTTTCCGATTTCTTACTGCATAATGGCTTGTAGTCGTTTCTTATGATGTGGTACCCATTCCAATGTCTCTTTTTCCTCTCCAACTTTATTTATTTGAGTCTTCTCTTTGTTTTTCTTAGTCTAGCTAAAGGTTTGTCAATTCTGCTTCATTGATGTTTATATTTCTTTTTAGTTTCCAATTTGTTTATCAATTTCTTTTTAGTTACTCAATTTGTTTATTTACTAATTTGGAATTTTATTTGTGCTTCCTTTTCTACTTCCTTGAGGTGCATTGTTAGGTTGTTTACTTAAATATCTTTCTACTTTTTTTGATGTAAGCATTTATTACTATAAAACTCCCTCCTAGTTCTTCTTTTGCTTTATCCCATAGGTTTTAGTATGTTGTATTTCTATTTTTGTTTGCTTCAATTTTTTTTATTTCCTTGTTAATTTCTTCATTGACTCTTTGGTTATCTGGGAGCATGTCATTTAATTTCTGTGAGTTTTTATGCTTTTCAAAGTTTCTCTTGTTGATTTCTAGTTTTATTCCATTGCGGTTACAGAAGATACATGATGCATTTTTTGTTTTTTAAAACTTGTTGAGACTTGCTTAGTGGCTTAATCTATGGTCTATCTTGGAGAACATTCCATGTCTCAGTGGGAAGAACGTGTATTCTGCAGCCGTTGGATGAAATGCTCTGTAGATGTCTGTGAGGTCCATTTGGTCCACAGTATACTTTATCTCTTTATTTTTAAAGATTTATTTATTTATTTGAAAGTCAAAGTTGTAGAGAGAGGGAGAGACACACAGAGAGAAAGAGAGAGATCTTCCTTCTGCTGGCTCACTCCCCAGGTGGTGGCAAAGGCCAGCACTAGGCTAGGCTGAAGCCAGGAGCCAAGAGCTTCTTCTAGGTCTCCCACATGGAGGCAGGGGTCCAAACACTTGGGTCATCTTCCGCTGCTTTCCCCAGGCCTTTAGCAGGGAGCTTGATTTGAGTAGCCTTTGACACGAACCAGCACACATACGGGATGCTGGTGTTGTAAGGCAGTGACTTTACCCACTATGCCACAACACCAGGCTCTGTAGTTAGTTTAGTGCCAATGTTTCTTTATTGATTTTCTGTTTAGATGATCTACCTGTTGCTGAAAGTGAGGTGTTAAAGTCCCCAAATTATTATTGTATTGGAGACTATCTCTCCGTTTACATTTAATATATCTGTTTTATCCATGCATATGAGGACATTTTCAAAAAGTTTATGAAAAATGAGTATTATGAAAAAGCTGTACATGGATTTCAAAGTACTTTTGAACCAAAATAAATTTGTCTCTTTAAAGTTATTTGAGAAGAAAATAGAGAGAAAGAGAGAGAGAGAGAGAGAGAAGGCACATCACTCTCATCTGCTGGTTCACTCCCCAAATACCTCCAACAGCCGGGGACCAAAGCAGGAACTAGGAGCTCAACCCAGGTCTCCCACATGGGTAGCAGGAACTCAACCACTTGAGCCATCACCGCTGCCTCCCAGGTCTTCATTACCAGGAAGCTGGACTCAGGAGCCAGAGCTAGGAAGTGAACCTAGGTACTCCGACGTGGGACATGAGTGTCTTCACCAGCATCTTGACTACTAGGCCAAATGCCCAACCCTAAATTTTATCTTTTAATTCCACTTTCCCACAAATGTGTTGAAGTACCCCCATCTATTTGGGTTCAAGTATTGGGTGCACATGTATTTACAACTGTCATAGCATTTTGCTGAATTGATCCTTTTATCATTATATAATATCATCCTTTGCCTCTTTTTACAGTTTTTGACTTAAAGTCTATTTTTATCACATATAAATAGAGCCAATCTTACTTGCTTTTGGTCTCCATTTGCATGGAGTATCTTTTCCCATCTCCTCTCTTTCAGTTATTTTTTAAAAAGATTTATTTATTTATTTACTTGAAAGGCAGAGTTATACACAGAGAGAAGTAGAGGCAGAGAGAGAAAGTGAGAGAGAGGACTTCCATCTGCTGGTTCACTCCCCAGATGGCCACAATGGCCGGAGCTGTGCCGATCCGAAGCCAGGGGTCAGGAGGTTTCTCCTGGTCTCTCACCCGGGTGCAGGGGCCCAAGGACTTCCATCTTCCACTGCTTTCCCAGGCCATAGCAGAGAGCTGGATCAGAAGTGCAGCAGCGGGGGCTTGAACCGGCGCCCACATGGGATGCCAGTGCTGCAGATGGCGGCTTTAGCCGCTATGCCACAGTGTTAGCCCCTCTTTCAGTTCTTACTGCTGTGTCTTTCCTAGTGAAGTGAGTTTCTGGCAGGTTGCATACAGCTTTTCATTGAGGAATTTAGCCCATTTAGTTTAAGGTTATTATTGATAAGCAAGAACATACTCCTGTCATTTTGTAAATTGTTTTCTGGTTGTTCTGTATATCTTTTGTTCTGTTCTTGCTCTCTTCTTGTTTGGGGGTTAGTGATTTATTTATTTATTGTGGTGGTAACATTTGATTCCTTTCTCCCTCTCCTTTGTGTGTCTGCTGTACCAGTGAGTTGTATGCTTTCTCATGCTTTCATGATGCTAGGCACTATCTAGTTGCTTCTACTTGTAAAACTCCTTTAAGGATTTCCTGTAAGGCCAGTTTAGAGGAGATGAATTCCCTCAGTTTTTTCTTCTGTAGGGCCAGGTTAGTGTTATTGAGTTCAGTTAATTTAACTTCTCATAAAAGAGTACCTCCTACCACATACTGTGATTCTCACCATTGAGTATTTTAGAAGCATGTAGATCAGTTAAGGATTCTATGACTCAAAAATATTAAAATGTTGGTATTAGACTCGAATATAGTTTTCAGAATTTTTTTTCTTAACAGGCAGAGTGGACAGTGAGAGAGAGAGACAAAGAGAAAGGTCTTCCTTTTCCATTGGTTCACCCTCCAATGGCCGCTGCAGCCAGCACGCTGTGGCTGGCGCACCGCACTGATCCGTAGCCAGGAGTCAGGTGCTTCTCCTGGTCTCCCATGGGGTGCAGGGCCCAAGCACCTGGGCCATCCTCCACTGCCCTCCCTGGCCACAGCAGAGAGCTGGCCTGGAAGAGGGGCAACCGGGACAGAATCCGGCGCCCCGACTGTGACTAGAACCCGGGATGCCGGGTGCCACAGGCGAGGATTAGCCTATTGAGCCATGGCACCGGCCAGTTTTCAGAATTTTTTAAAAGTTTATTTGAGGCAGGAACTCTAACCAGGTTTCCCACATGGGTGGTAGGGACCCAACTACTTGAGGCGTCATCTGCTGCTTCCTAGGATATGCGCAAGCGGGAAGCTGGAAACGGAGGCAGGATGCCATCCCAGGCATTCCAATACGGGATGTGGGTGTCCCAGGCAACGGCTTACCCTGCTGCACCGTGGCGCCCAGCCCAGGAGCCAGGTGCTTATCCTGGTCTCCCATGCGGCTGCAGGGCCCAAGCACTTGGGCCATCCTCCACTGCACTCCTGGGCCACAGCAGAGAGCTGGACTGGAAGAGGAGCAACCAGGACAGAATCCAGTGCCCCAGCTGGGACTAGAACCCCGGGGTGCTGGCGCTGCAGGCGGAGGATTAGCCACGTGAGCTGCGGCACCGGCCTAGGTAAAATTTTTTAAACCTCCATTTTGTTGATGTGGAAATTGAACTACCCACCATCACACAACAGCTCAAGAATTGGATGATGGCGTGTGTGGTCCTGAAGCCTGTGTCCTTTCTGCTGGACCAGCAAAATCTCTGGAGTGGTGGCCAGAGTACTGGGAGCAGGGAGAATGTGACTGAAAGGCTAAGACAGTGCCACCCTGGAGATACTACAAAACGCCAGATAAAGGAGTACAGCCTCAACCTAGGAAGCAATGGGGTTGAGGGAGCAGGGAGGGGGGACAATGAAGGCTTTGAGAGAGAGTGTTGACTAGGGAAACAGAGATTATTCTGAAACTTGGTAACGCCTGAATGGCTTTGCCAGAAGTTTCGTTCATTGGTTCAGCCAGCACTTACTGGCAGGATGTCAGTGACCCATCTTCCCGAGCAGGTGCTTCGAGGATCAGAGTATTTAAGTTGGTTTTCAGGATTTCAGCCTTGGATCGCAGGAGAGGTGCCACAGCTGGGTGTTTCAAAAGCAGCTGGAGCCACTTTATTGGTCTCCCACCCCATCCACTGCCAGGCAGAACACTGCTAGGTTCTGGGGGCTATGAAGACATCTTTAAAGGTTGCCTTCCTAAGATATCGAGTATCTTCCATCTTGCAGGGATTTGGGGTTTGCAGATGCACCCGGGAGTAAGCAGCATTGTACCCATTTCACAGCAGGCTCAGAGAGGTTACCCAAGGTCAGACAGCCAGGGCGTTAGCAGAGTCAGGTTCAAACCCAGATTTCTCTGTCAAATTCAAGCTCCTTCTGCTTCCCACCCAGCGAGGCTGCCTGGGACCCTCTGTAAAAGTGCCAGAGACTGTGCGTCCAGCCACTGTCTCAAGCCTCCTGCTCCCTCTGGAGACCGAGGGACGGTTTTCTCGTGGGCTTCCACAAATGTTCCCAAGCGGTTAGACAAAAGAGGGAACGAGAAAGCCCAGTGGCCCTGGCCCTCGGTCGACCCCACGGCGTCCCCGCCCGCGCAAACCCCGACTGCCGCGAGGAAAGCACCGGCTTTTGCAGCCGGGGCCCTCGTGGCTTTCCGCCCGCCCGCACGCCCCTGGGGCGGGCCTCTCAGCCACTTCTCATAAAGTGGGTCCTCGGTTTTGCGCCGCCCGTGGCCGAGGGACCGGGAGCCGCGTGTTCCTGCGCGTTTGCGCCGTGCGCCGGGAGCAGCCCCGCAGGTTCGGAAGCCGCCGCTGCGCGCAGCCCGCGCCCGCCTGCGCCCGCCAGCCATGCTTCGGCTCTCGGCGGCAGCGGCCGCGCTCCTGGTGTCTCTGGCCGGTGAGTGACTTCCCAGGGTGGCCCTGCCAGGTCGGGTCCTCTTGAAGCGCGTTTGGATGTCCCTGACTTTGGCCAGGCAGGACGGGCTGCAGATCCCGCGCCTGAGGTTGTGGATCCTTCCTCCGGAAAACGCCTCCAACTTGCCCCTTCCAGATGTGGGGCGCCGCTCATTCTCGCCAAGGGCTTTCGTAGCTGGACATGTTTTAGGTGAGGCAGGTAGAGTAGAAGAGGAGGAGCAAATGGGTTCTGGGCACCCATCAGGGAGAGTCTGCGAAATCACTTAGATTTAGGAGAGGGACATAGAGCCCGGGCTTAGAAACGGGATCTCTCTGTGATCTGGAAAAAGCAGTCATAGCTTTTTTTCTCCCATGGAGGGGTTGTGCTTGTATCAGAGCACAGGGAACTGTGAAGATGCTTCATCAGGGGTGGTCTAACTTGCCTTTTCAGACAGGTGTAAGCTAGGGCGTCAAAGATGGAAACAAACCGGCTGCCGCACTGAAGATTCAGGATGCTATCTGGGAAGCAGAGTTTATAATAATCTGAGAGGTCTTCAGAAAGTTTATGGAAAATGCATATTATGAAAGAACCGTGCATAGATTTCAAATGGGTCTTTGGCATCAAAATAGAGTTGTCTTTTTTTAAGATTGATTTTATTTATCTGAAAGGCAGAGTGACAGAGATAGAGGGAGAGACAGAGATCTTCCCATCTGCTGGTTCACTCCCCAAACCACCTCAACTGCTGGGATTGGGACAGGCCAAATCCAGAAGCCTGCAACTCCAAGCAGGGCTCCTACATGGGTGGCAGGGACCCAAGTACCTGGAGCATCTTCTGTGTTTCAGGCATATTAGCAGGGAGTTGGATCAGAAGCAGAGCAGTTGGGACTTGAACTGATGCTCTGATATGGGTTGCTGGTGTCACAGGCAGCGGCTTATCTCACCCTGCCACAATGCCAGCCCCCTTAGGCTTATCTTTTAATATTCCACTGTCTATAGTACCCTTGTGTGTGTGTGTGTGTGTGTGTGTGTGTTTTAAGATTTATTTGTTTATTTGAAAGGCAGAGCTACAGAGGGGTAGGTGCAGAGAGAGAGAGAGAACGAGAGAGAGAGAAAGTCTTCTGCCTGCTGGTTCACTCCCCAAATGGGCGCAATGGGCTGATCCAAAGCCAGAAGCCAGGAGCTTCCTCCAGGTCTCCGAAGCTGGTGCAGGGGCCCAAGCACTTGGGCCATCCTCCACTATTTTCCTAGGCCTTAGCAGAGAGCTGGATGGGAAGTGGAGCAGCAGGGACTCACCAGCACCCATATGGGATGCCGGCACTGCAGACGGTAGATCTACCCACTACGCCACAGTGCTGGCCCCCCATACCCTTGTGTTTTATAAACCCCAATCCCTGGCTTTCACTGGAGCATTTTTCTAACTAGGATGTTGGGTCCTGTTACTGTGTTCACTAGTTCATTCCCAGTTCCTCCCAGAACCACTGGAATTGGCTGTGTGGGATGACTTGCTCCGTCCAGGCTGCCCTGTAGCAGGTTCAGATGAGGCACATGGTGGCCCGTGGTTGTGACATCAATGTTGGGTGTTGTCACGGCAGTGTGAAGGGTCATGCCACTGCCCTACTCCAGGCTGGCTTTCCTGTGCTGTGCTTTCAGAATTAAAGGGCCATGTTCTTTGAACAGAAGAAGTCATTGCTGCATTTTACAGGGCAAGCAAGTCAAACAAACAAACCAACAATTCCAGCTAGTAGTAACCCCACTCACTGAACAGCTGCCAATTGGCTGACAGGTGACTGACAGGTTCAGGACCCCAGGGACTTCTGACAAGTGCAAGGCCAAGAGGAGGAGAAACGGCCCATTCTCCTTCCCTGTCTGAACGGCAGTACTCAGAGGTGAGCAAAGCAGAAGCTGAGAGGTTCCTCCTCAGTAGTGACCTCTCTCTGCCCTGGGACAGATGGCGCCTGCATGGCCTTTGAGGGGTTGACGCTCATGGCAGGCAGGCCCACTCACCGTGCCTGGCCTGTCGGGTGCTCAGCTCCCTCCCTGACCTCTCCCAGGGGTGCTGGGAAGGCAGACTGAGCCAGCATCTGCCGAGAGCAGCCCTGCTGCCTTCGCTCAGCTCTGTCCATCCCACTTCTCCCCCCTCACCGGTGCCACCTGCTGACCACACGTGGTGGGAACAGTGATGGCCGCCACTTCCTGTGTGCCAGGCACTGTCCTAGGCACTGTATCACAAACCAGCTAGTGAGGAACACACTTTGCTTGTGAGGAAGTGGAGGCAGAGGAAGGGGTGTAGTAACTTGTCCGCTGTCACATAGCTGGCCAGTGACAGAGTTGTGCTCTGAACTAGGGTCTGCGCCTGCAGTAGCTGTCTGCTCTCTGCTAGCCTGTCTTACTTCTAAGAATCCTGAAAATAGGTGCTATCATTATCCCCATTTTACAGATGAGGGTGCTGAGGCAAAGGCTCGTGCTCTCCCAGTTAGCAAGTGGCAGCCCTGTGACTGGCATTTAAGAAGTCTGGCTTTCGGGTTCCTGGTCCGCACAGGTGTCCTACATGGTACTGGATGCCTAGATTCAAGAAATGCTTGTTGGCCGGTGCCGCGGCTCAATAGGCTAATCCTCCGCCTGTGGTGCCGGCACACCGGGTTCTAGTCCCAGTCGGGGAGCCGGATTCTGTCCCAGTTGCTCCTCTTCCAGGCCAGCTCTCTGCTGTGGCCAGGGAGTGCAGTGGAGGATGGCCCAAGTGCTTGGGCTCTGCACCTGCATGGGAGACCAGGAGAAGCACCTGGCTCCTGTCTTCAGCTCAGTGCGGTGCGCCAGCAGCAATGGCCATTGCGGGGTGAATCAACGGCAAAGGAAGACCTTTCTGTCTCTCTCACTATCCACTCTGCCTGTCAAAAAAAGAAAAAAAGAAAAAAAAAAGAAAAAGAAAAAAGAAATAAAAGAAATGCTTGTTGAGTTGGATATGAACAAAGGGCACTAGACTTTTTGCAAAGGGAAGCATAGCTTCTAGGTGAACTAGAGGAGTAATCTTTATGCTGTCACTTGTCTCCCCTGCTCTCAAATTCCTCCCTGTTGAAGTTCATATCGGTGAAGTTTATGCTCAGCTGCGTGTCTGGGACAAGAACAAAATAACAGTATTAAGCCAGACAGCTGTTTGTTATTCTCTCATATGCAAACATGACCACAAGAATTCGTACTGCTTTCAGCAAGGGGGCTCATCGTCGGCGATCTCCCAACATACGAGTATATACAACCTCTAGCTTCATGGTCTCCTCGTGGTTCCATATGTCTGTGGGAGCTCCAGCCATCACAAACAAGGTTGCAGGAGGTAAAACAGTAAGAAGCAGGCTACCTAGGTAACTGAGCGCCCTTCAGCCAGCCTTTTCAGAAGGCCCACAGGACCCTGTCGCTTGTATTGCTTTGCCCAAAACTCAGTCGCACATGCCCACGCCCAGAGAGGAGGCTCGGGCATGGCGTTCTGTAAGTACTCAGCTTAAACTCAACGTTCTGTAAGGAAGGAGCAAGGGGAGTCTGGATTTGGCACGGCGGCCCAAAGTGCCTTCTGTTCTAGGGTTTCCTTTCCCTCTTGGCTGTACTCTGCTGGGGCTGCTTGGGCTCTGGGCAAGGTGCTTGTGGGTGGGGATGGACTCCAGCCCCATACCTGGACATGGCCATGAACTTCCATTTACTCCCCATAAGAGCACTGCAGGCAAAGTGCACTCTCTATGTCCTGCCTGGCCTGTGCCCCCTCTGCCCGCTGCTCCACACTCCTGGTGTTCCTGAGCCCTGACAGCCCTCCCAATGCACCAGGCTGCTGAAGCCTCCATGTTTTACCCCTGCTCTTCCTCCTGTCTGGAAGACCGTCTCTCCTCCATTTACTGCCTGAAGACTTTCTCCTTGTGTTGCATTCCTCGCCCCCACCCCACACTCCCATCGCACCGGGGCTGGATGATAACCCTTGTTCCAGTGAGGAGTGTGCAGGGGCTTAGAGCTCCCTGCACCAGTGCCTGGCATGAGCCTGCCTTGAAGGCCTTTACAGACCCAGTGAGCTGGGTGCGGCAGGGAGACGGCTCGAAGGCAGTCTGGGGAGTGACTGCTGGCCAGGGAAATAACCGAGGGAAGAGGTCATCCTGAGCCCTTGCACGGCCGCTGATTTCCCCTGGGGACTGGGCAGTGACTCATCTCAGCCCCTCCTGCTGGTCACAGGGGAACCAAAACCTTCTCACGCCTCGTGCTGCAGGTGGTCAGCTAGAGGAGTCCGAGCAGTGCACCAAGACCCTGGGCTACTCGGGATCTGAGTCTCCCGAATCCTGGAGAGGGGATGCTGAGGTGGGAGAGGTTGGCAGATCAGTGAGTGAACTCCAGTGCTGTGTTATTTTTGTTTTAAAGATTTATTTATTTATTTGAAAGTCAGAGTTACATGGAGAGAAGGAGAGGCAGAAAGAGAGAAAGAGAGAGTGAGAGGTAGAGAGAAAGAGAGAGGTCTTCTACCCGCTGGTTCACTCCCCAGATGGCTGCAATGGCCGGAGCTGAGCTGATCTGAAACCAGGAGCTTCTTCTGAGTCTCCCCCATAGGTGCAGGGGCACAAGGACTTGGGCCATCTTCTACTGTTTTCCCAGGCCATAGCAGAGAGATGGATGGGAAGTGGAGCAACCTGGACTTGAACTAGTGCCCATATGGGATGCCGGCACTGGAGGTGGCAGCTTTACCTGCTATGCCACAACGCCTGCTCCCAGTGCTGTGTTCTTTTAATACAGGGAAGGTCTAGACAGATTCTGAGCTATGCCCTGAACTTGCTTCTGCCCCCTTCCCTCTTACATAAGACTAGTGACCTTGAATGAACTTGTGGCAATTAAAGGTCCAATTTAAAAACCATGCCCCAGTTTTGGCCTACTCCATATCAACCCTATGGGTTTTCCATCTCATTACCTGCCCATCTTCTGTACCCCACACAAGGAAAAATTCTTTAGGCAGACAAGAGGGTAGATGGTATTCCAGACAGGAGGAAGAGTACTGGCAAAACATGGAAGCTTCAGGAGCCCTGTATACCTGGAAGAGAGGAGAGAGTCAAGGAGAAGGAGAAGGGGACTGTCAGTGTGATTCAGTCCCTAGTGTGATTTGGTCTGTACCACAGCAGTGAACTTGGCTTCTTGGTGCAGCTCCCTGCCAACCCAGTCTTTTGTCCACCATCCACACTCCTCATCCCCCAACGGCACACCTGCATGCCAGAGCAGACGCCATGACTACCATCCCCTCCAGTCGTCTGCCAAGGCTTCCTACAAGCCAGACTCGTACCCTGATGGGGTACCATGCGTTTTCTTGACTGGTTTGTGAGTGACAAAGTGTTTTTTTTTTTTCTTTTTTTGTTTGAGTTCGTTCATCACTCCTGAAAGGGGAGTTCTAATTGCAACTCATAAAAGGCACCCCCTTTTTAAAGGGTGTGCTGTTGCATTTAGTTATTTCTACTTGGTTGAGATAATTTGCTTTAATTTACAAGGAATTTAGCAAGCATGTGATAACCTCCCAAAGAGAACACCAGGCGTATGGTTCCTAGTCTGCGGAAGCTCTCTGTGGCAATCTTTACTTCTTATCGCAAGATATTTCTAGGAACCACATCTGACAGTGATTTCTCTTTCTTTGTAGGAATAGCATATACCAAGTGCAGTTCTTATTGGCTCCCGATCAAAGAACCAGGAATTCATATTTAGCTCAAACGAATTGTTAAAATAAATCTTCAACAGAATTCACCTCCATAACAACCGTGGAGGTGAAAAATCGTCCTCCCAGCTCTACGATGTAGATGTCAAGGTCCCATCTGTAGTAACCTTAAAATCTACAACTGTCAAGTTGCATTTAGTTTATTCAAGCGCATAAATTAGATACAAAGACGACTCTTTAAACAGTAATCTCAAATCACTTCATGGCAATAACTCTTTTTAAAAAGTTATCCAAGGCTATTTGAACTGATGCTTTTATCTTTCCCATTTTGCAAACCAGGTATTCAGAAATGAGTGTGCGGGTGAGGACCTGTTTTATATCAGAAGGACAAGGAAGACTTTTAGAGAGCTGGGATTTGAGCCAAAGCAGGAAGCACAGCCCACCCAATAACAGAGCAATTATGACTTAATTTTCTTTCTTGGATGAGAAAGGCCCAGCCATTCAAAGAGTGCAGCAAGGAAGTGGCATACACTGGCCTATATTGAGAAAAACAACTGGTGAATGATAAAAAGCAGAAGGGGACCAGTGTTGTGGTGTAGTGGGTTAGGTTGTCTGTAGTGCCGACATCCGTATGGGTGCTTGTTCAAGCCCTGGCTGCTCTACTTCTGATCCAGCTCCCTGTAATGCTCCTAGGAAAGCAATAGACCATGGCCCAAGTGCTTGGGTCCCTACTACCCACTTAGGAGAACTGGATAGAGTTCCAGGCTCCTGGCTTCAGCCTAGTCCAGCCCCAGCTGTTGTGGCCATTTGGAGAATGAACCAGCAGATGGAAGATCTTTGTCTCTCCCTTTCCCTTTTTTCTCTCTCTCTCTCTGTAACTATGCCTTTAAAATAGATAAATAAATAAATAAATAAATAAATAATGTTAAGAAGCAGAAGGGACTATATTGTAAGGAAATGAGTCTCCCATCATTGGGGGTAATTAAGCTTAGCTTGTGTAACACATGAGAAATATTCCTAGGAACCATTCATGCATCAGGTTAGTGTTTGCGTGAGATGAACTTTAAGACTCCTTGCAGATCTCAGGTTGTTTGATATGAAAACTATAAAATTCTATAAAACCTGTAAATTGTCATTATCCAAGCTGCCGGATCATCAGTGCAGCTGTTTACCTAGGAGCACTGCGGGGGTACTTCACAAAGTCTGTGGGGAAAATAGAATTAAAAGATAAATTTATTGTGGTGCAAAATTTTGCAAAATCCAAGCATACAGGGGAGTCTTCAAAAGTTCATGGAAAGTTATGAAAGAACTATACATGGATGTCAAGGTGGTTCCTTTTTTTTTGGTTTTTGCATCAAAATAACTTTATCTTTTAATTCTGTTTTTGCATGCTTTTTAAAGTACCTACGTATTTGGTGTTGACTGGTTTCACATTTGAAGGTGGGTAGTGAAAGATGTGTTGACACTTAGATATTTAGCTGAGTGCAATCGCTTTGTGTCTTAGGACTAAGCCCCATCCAGACAAAGGGGCTGAGTACGGACAAATGTGTGCAGTATGATCACTCCCCTGTAAAAAACCTGAGTACAACCGAAACATTACAGTTGTAGCCTAGTGAAGGAGTCTTTGGCAATCTTTTGTTTGTGGTTATAGCCTCGTGAATGTCCCTCAGATCTAAAACTGTGCATGTTGTTTTTTTTTTAATGACCAATAAGTTGTTGTTCTAACACTTTTGTTTCCTAAATCCCAGTAACTTTGCAGGATGGCGGTCAAATGAGTGCCAAGGCTTTTCCAGAAATCAGAGGCCATCTTCAGCCCACGACAGCGGCAACAATACAGGCCAGAGCACAACCTTCTCTCCAGCAGCCAACTCGCCAAATGCCTCGCAACACTTCGCCAGCAAGTTCAACAGATGGGCTCATCACTTCTCCAATGATGGCCACTGGCAGCGCCTCTGAGAACTCAACAACACACACAGTAGAAATCCCAACTACCCCAGCAACTACCAAAAGTACCCCATCCACCATCCCAACTGCTATCTATACCCTCATCACAACTCAGGCCACACCCAACAACTCACACACAGCTGCTCCAGTCACAGAGGCTACAATTGGTCCCAGCTTAGCCACTCATTCCCAGCTACCCACCACCATCCCACAAGGCCATACAACCAGAAGCAGTCCATCAACTGTCAGCCACACACCTGGGAAAACCACCCAACCCAGTAAGCAGACCACTGTTGTGACAACTCGGACCACAGCACCACACAGAAACACAACCAGTCAGAAGTCTATCCAGCCCTCCCAGGCCCCAGGAACAGCTACAACGGCACACAATGACACCCGGACCACTTCCCCTGCCTATACACTTAGTGGGCCCACCCTTGCACCTCAGCCTTCGTCAGCCAAGACTGGAATTTATCAAGTTCTAAATGGAAGCAGACTCTGTATAAAAGCAGAGATGGGGTTAGAGCTTATGGTTCAAGACAAGGAGTCGGTAAGTTGGGGTTGTCGGGCCGTAACACCGTCTGCAAAAGGCTTGAGTGGAGTTTGTCTTGCTACACGTGAGCACTCCCCTGCATCCGTGCCTTTGAATGAAAGTGAATAGCTATGAGCTCATCTTTCTCCACAGTGCTCCATTGGAAGATCTGGGGCAGAGGGTCTGAGTTTGAGCCTCAGCTCCACTTCTGATTCTAACTTCCTGTTAATGTGCACTCGGCGAGGTAGAAGTGATGGCTCAAGTGGTTATGTCCATGCCTTCTATGTGGGAAACGTAGATTGAGTTCCTGGCTCCTGGTTTTGGCCTCACCCAGTCATGACTGTTGTGGAAGTCTGGGGAGTGAACCAGCAGATGGAAGACCTCTGTCTGACATTCAAGTAAATAAATAAGTGAAGACTTTTTTTTAAAGATTTATTTATTTATTTGAAAGCCAGAGTTACACAGAGAGAGAAGGAGAGGCAGAGAGAGAGAGAGGTCTTCCATCCGCTGGTTCACTCCCCAGTTGGCCGCAATGGCTGGAGCTGCACCAATCCGAAGCCAGGAGCCAGGAGCTTCCTCCAGGTCTCCCATGTGGGTGCAGGGGCCCAAAGACTTGAGCCATCTTCTACTGCTTTCCCAGGCCACAGCAGAGAGCTGGATCGGAAGTGGAGCAGATGGGTCCACATGGGATGCCGGCACTGCAGGCAGCAGCTTTACCCGCTAAGCCACAGCACCAGTGCCAATAAGTGAAAACATTGTAAACAGTGACTATGGGCTGGCGTCATGGCTCACTTGGCTAATCCTCCGCCTGCAGTGCCAGCACCCTGGGTTCTAGTCCAGGTCGGGCAGCCGGATTCTGTCCCGGTTGCCCCTCTTCCAGGCCAGCTCTCTGCTGTGGCCAGGGAGTGCAGTGGAGGATGGCCCAAGTGCTTGGGCCCTGCACCCCATGGGAGACCAGGATAAGTACCTGGCTCCTGCCATCGGATCAGCGTGGTGTGCCGGCCGTGGCGGCCATTGGAGGGTGAACCAACGGCAAAGGAAGACTTTTCTCTCTGTCTCTCTCTCTCTCTCACTGTCCACTCTGCCTGTCAAAAAAAAAAAAAAAAAAAAAAGAAAGAAAAAAGAAAGCTTTTGGGGGCTGGCGCTGTGGCACAGCAGGTTAACGCCCTGGCCTGAAGCGCCAGCATTCCATATGGGCACCAGTTCTAGTCCCAGCTGCTCCTCTTCCAGTCCAGCCCTCTGCTATGGCCTGGGAAAGCAGTGGAAGACGGCCCAAGCCCTTGGGCCCCTGCACCCATTTGGGAGACCCCGAGGAAGCTTTTGGCTCCTGGCTTCAGGTTGGCACAGCTCTGGCCGTTGCGGCCATCTGGGGAGTGAACCAGCGGATGGAAGACCTCTCTCTGTAACTCTGTCTTTCAAATAAATAAAGTAAATCTTTGAAAAAAGAAAAAGAAAAAAAGAACGCTTTTGGAAGTAACAGTTTGGAAGTGCGAGGATGGGGACTTCGCAGTTCTCAAGGGAATACCCTCTCAGCCTTGGCTTTGGGCTCTCTGTGCCTGCAGTTCCCTTGCCAGGGTTTCCTTCTAAACCTCACTGAGCTCATCTGTCTGATTTATTCTAGGTTTTTTCACCTCAGAGATACTTCAACATTGACCCCAACACAACCCAAGCTTCTGGGAACTGTGGCTGCCGAAAATCCAACCTTCTCTTGAGTTTCCAGCGTGGATTTGTGAATCTGACATTTACCAGGGTAAAGCAAGAGCTCTTTGGCGGTAACCAGCTCCATTGTGGCTTTTCCTCTGCCACACCCTGGGACCCCGTGATGCAATCCCACACTTGAGTTTAAGGCCCAGCAGAAATAGATCTGAGAGCCTTTTGAAGTCTGTGTGATAAGATGAGGGGCCTGGGGAGGGAGAGGAGGGAAGTGTCGACATCTCCTGTTTGCCTTCCTCTCCCTCAGCCCCCTCTGTGTAGCCCAAGGAGGCCTTCAGTGCCTCTTAGGGGAGACTTGGCCTTGGGGTACCGAACCACCCATGCCCTTTGCAGCCGCCCAAAGGAGGAAGTTGTACACATCAACAGATCCCTAGAAATTCCTGGTGAACCCCAGAGAAGCAAGATTTTTCTAAGACCAAAAGCAAATGTCAGAATGGGTTCTTTCCAACCACAGTGGGCAAAAATCAGGGACTAACCAGGTACTGGGCTTTCCAGACCATCTTCCGGAAGTGTGTAGACAATGAGGGGGAGTGGCCAGAGCATTGGGCCTTGAAGTCAGTGGGTCAGTCACCAATTCAGCTCTGTCACTTGCTCTCCTTGTGACACTGGGCAGGCAACTTAACCCATCCAAGCTGAATCGTGTTATCTGAAAAATGAGGGCAGAGAATTAGTAGTCAGTTCTGTAAAGAGCATGCGCATAGACAGACAGTGGCTGTAACTGCAGTGAGAGAGTTAGGCGAAAGCTCTGGGGCCTGGGTGAAGCTGTCCCCTCACTCTGCAGGGCAGACTCGCCCCTGCTTGCCCCAAGGTGTCTCTGAGTAGGCCAAGTGAGAGTCGGGGAGGGAGGAGGCATGGTAGCACCCTTCAGCTGGGACCTGCTGCCTGATCATGGGCTAGCTGAGGACTGTTCCCTCATGTTTAAGATGGGAACACTCACACCTACCTAGCAGGACCCCATGGAGGATTAGAAATGGGGTATGTAAACTGTCTAGCACAAGGTCTGGCACTTAACAACCATCCAAGGACACCGAACAAATTCAGTTTAGAAGTCTCCCTTGGCCTTTATTTGTGACGCTGGGACTTGCTGTGATGTGTCATTCTATAGAATAGAATGCGTGTTCTGAGGAACTGAGCCGAGGAGGTTGGTTGTACTGACAGAAAAAGGCTAAAGAGAGCAGAAACAAGAAGTGAATTGGTCATGTCAAAGTTCCTTTTCCTGTAGGGGGGGGGGGGGTCACTTCCTTACCATGCTAAGTAAAACTGGCTTGTTTAGGGATTCTTTCTCTCTCTCTCTCTCTCTCTCCTGATCTCTTGGAAGGTCAAATAAACAACCTAGTTTCAACATGTTGGCCTGGAACTTCGGCATGAGTAGCTTCATTTTGGTGTAACCTGTTGGGCCTGGTGCAGGAGTGAGTCCCATCCAGTCCAATGGCCTCCATACATTTTATTATTTAACACCATGTTCAGGAAAGGGTGTGGCTATGGTTGTTGTTGTTATAACTTGGTCTCAAAGGCTTCATCCTCCTGGAGGATGCTTTTCTCCAAAAGTAGGGATGAACTTGAGAAGTCAGGGATTCCCTTTGGGTGCCAAGTGGAAAAGACGTAACCCCCTCGCATCAGAAGAGGGAGACTTCACGCTCTCTCCCTGAGCACTTGAAGTTAAACTGTAGAACCATAGAGGTGTCAGGAATTTCTTAAAAAGCCACCAAATGGCAGAAGAGACAGACATAAACATTTGTGCTTTAGTTCAGGGCCCAGTCCCACCTGTATCACTGCCCGGATCCCTGTGTGCGTAGCGGCCTACGGGAAGGTACTAGAAACCCCCAGCATTTGCGGATGGCAGGCCTCAGGCGGAACTGCAAACAGGCTCTCCTTGGACCCTTCAGCCTCTCCTTTTGTTACTTTCCTCTGTCTCCTTTTGCTCCGGTCTGGCCTTTCAGATGCCTCCAGTTGGATCAAACTCCACCCAAATGTTGAGTTCTCAATTTTCTTAAAATTCTATGTGCCTCTTAATTGCCCCTCCCTCCCTCCTTCCCTCCCTCCCTCCTTCCCTCCCTCCCTCTCTCTCTCTCTCTCTCTCCCTCTCCCTCCCTCCTGGACAGGGCATGAGTGATGAGATAGAGCTAGAAGAACAAGCAGGTTCTCCCTTCCTCATGACCTTTTCCAGCCGCCTTCCTGAAGGGGCAAGGTGAGCCTTCCTCAATCCATGGCTTCCAGAGCTGCAGTCGCCGCATTTCCTGTCCATTTGCCTTTTTCCTGCCATTCTCCAGTCCCATTCCCCAGCACCTGACCTTATCCATAGCAGGAGGGTAGCAAAGAGGCTCACAGAAGGTGAAAATGCTCACAGCCTTAGTGCTCTTGCAGCATTTCTGCATTTAAAAAAGGAACTTGGATATGAACCCTGCCAAAGAAGTCTTTGTGTCTTGGATTAGCCCTAAAAAGCTTGATTCTTGTGGAATAGGAGAGATCTTCTAATGAGGGCCAGCTTCTCAGGCATGTGACCTGTGCGTTTAGAAGGGTTCATGCCTCCTTTAATATTTTTTGCTGTTGCCTTTTGAAATTCTGAATGATTTTTGAACCAGAAACTCTACATTTTCACTTTGTACTGGGCCCAGTCTTGCTTTCTATAGAGGGCTTTAAGTTCCAAGTGCATTTCAGGGAGTGTCTTAGAAAGTTTTCACATAATGAATTTTTTGTCTATACCCACATATCCCAGATCGCATGGAGGAAAACTTAGGACAGGATCCTGAAGGCAGAATCTTGCTTTGTGACCTGCAAGCTAGGTAACTCTGAGGTGGATTCTGAACTCTTCTGAGCCTCTTTGTTCTCAGCTGTAGAATGGGCTGATGATATTTGTCCTGACTTGTTGTGATGGTCAGTGAGACGGCGAGGTCAGGTGGGTGCATGCAGCTGGCCAACTGTGAGACCCTTAGCGAATGCCAAGCCTACTTTCCTTGGGCGAGAGCAGATCTGGGAGATGTGAAAGGGAAGGGAAGGTTCTAGGAGGTCTCCTGGGGGGTTGCCTCACCAGTCATTGTTCTCCTGCTGCTCCTTAGATCATTCTCATAGTGCAGTCCAATCAGTTTCTAAAAACGAAGGCCTGCTCCTGTCACTGTCCTCCTGTCAGGTCCCTTTAAGGGAACCTCTTTGCCCTTAGGATGGGCAGAGGGCCTTGTAAGTATGGGCCCTGGAGTACAGGTCTCTCTTATGCTAAAAAAGAGCCCCAAATAAAGAATAAGCTGAATAAATGGTATGTGAAAGCAAACCAGAAAGGAGTTGGGTCACAGATGTTTTGCTGTTGGACCACAGATGGTCCAAGCATGTTGTTCAACTGCTTTTGAGACCCTGAGACTGAACACCTCGAGGGGCGCCACCAGGTCTTCTCCAAGGAGTTTTAAAAAGTTCTTGGAAAATACATATAAAGGAAAAAGCATGCATGGATTTCAAAGTGTTTGGCAACAAAGTAAGCTTATCATTTAATTCTACTTTCCATTGACTTAAAAAAAGATTTATTTATTTATTTATTTATTTTATTTGAAAGGAAGAGTGACACACAGAGAAGAAGAGAGCGATTGATATTTTGTATCTCCTGGTTCACTCCACAAAAGGCTACAAAGCCTCAGGCTGGGCCAGGCTGAAACCAGGAGCCTGGAACTCCAAGTGGGTCTCCCAGGCAGGGTCCAAGTACTTGGGCCATCATCTGTTGCTTTTCCTAGGTGTGTTAGCAGGCACCTGGATCAGAAGCAGAGCAGCCAGAAACAGAACCAGCACTCCAATATGTGATGCTGGTCTTGCAAGCAGTGGCTTAATCTGCTGTAGCGCAACACTGGCCTCTCCATGAACTTCACAAACCCCTTCCTAGAATGCCTGGCATGGGGTGAATATAAAAGAGTGAAAGCTGGACTTGAGGGCAGGCATTTTGGTGCAGTGGTTTAGATGCTGCTTGTATCCTGTATCAGAGTGCCTGGTTCAAGTCCTGGCTCTGGTTTGAATCCAACTTCCTGCTAATGTGCACCATTGGAAGGCAGCAGGTGATGACACAAGTAGTTAAGTCCCTGCTATGCACTGGGAGACCTGGATGGAGTTTTGAGCTCCTGGCTTTGGCCTGGCCCAACCCTGGCTGTTGTGGGCATTTGGGAAGTGAACCAGTTGGTAGAAGATCTCTGTCTCTCAGTCTTTCAAATAAAATAAATAAATGAAAAAGCTAGACTTGGATACACTCAGCTTTGAGGTAATATCTTTTATGTTTGTGACCTTGGGCAACTCATTGAGTCTCTTTTGCTTCTCATAGTTATTGCGAGGATTAAATAGAGCCAGGCACAGAAGTACCCACAAAACATTGAAATCCATGCATTGCTGTTTCACAATATGCATTTTCCGAAGATCCTCATGGTTTTCAGATCCATGTGCATGGATCTCAAAAATGCCTTGCAACACAATAAACTTGTCTTTTAATGGAAAGATTAACACACTCTGTCTTGCAGGATGAAAAATCATATTACATCAGTGAAGTGGGAGCCCTTTTGATGGTCTCAAATCCAGGTTAGTACTTAGAGAATGGCTGATCTGTCCATGATGATGCTGTATCTGCTGTCAACTCATTTTTCATCCAGCTGAATCTGTTAATCTTTGATGCTGTTTTCAGAAAGCAGAGAGAGTAACCAGCAATATAGCTCTGGGGGAACTTGTGCCAACTTTGTGCACTTCCGTTGGCCATCTGCTCATGAAGGAGGTTGGATTAGATTATATCAGAGATCATTCTGAGCAACAATCATTCAGTGAGTTTTTGACAGATTTGCTGTTGATCGTTCAATTCACTGTTTAGTCTTGGAATCATGCATTCATTCCACAAAAATATGGAAAGGTGCCAAGCCCAGTCTGTATTAGGCACTGGGGATCCATAATTATCTGAACCAATAGCTTCTGCCATCATGGAGCTTACATTCTAGAAGGAGGAGAGGACCAAAAACAAGCACATCAAATTATATGCTGTTAAGTTCTACACCAGCAGGGGAAATGGAGAGGGATGGAACTATTTTAGATAGAATCTTGAGGAGCCCTCAGTGGAGGAAGGCCCCTCTGTAGAGGTGGGGTTAAGAGAGATGTATCGCCCTTTGGAGATAATGGGCCTGGGGAAGCTCTTTCCAGATGGCAGAACAGCATTTGCACAGACCCTCAGGAGTGAGTTTTCCAGGATGTAGAAGGACCAGCAGTGTGCCCCGAGAGGACAGCTAGGCCTGAGCATGCAGGGCCTGTTTTCAGGGCAAGGTCAGGACTTTGGATTTTATTCTAAAGTGTGAAAGGATGCCATCAGAGGTCCTGGTATAGGTTGAGCATCTCTACCCCAAAAATATGAAATCCAAAGTGTGCCAAAGTCCAAAGTTTTTGGAGCACTAAATGATGCGACAAGTAGAAGATTCTGCATTGGATACCATGGGAGGGGACCCAGTCAAAATATGCACAATTAATTTAAAATATTATATAGAATTACCTTCAGGCTATATGTATAAGGTATACATGAAACGTAAATGAATTTTGTGTTTAAACTTGGGTCCCATCCCCAAGAAAGCTCATTAAATATCTTCAGATATTCCAAAATGTGAAAAGGTCTGAAATGTGAAACAATTCTGATCACCAACATTTAGGATGAGAGATACTCGGCTTGTATCAGATCTACATCCACAGTTTCACTTTGGTGCTATAAGGAGAATTGCCCTTGGTGGGGCAAGTTAAAAGAATTCCTACAATGTTTGATTGTAGAGAAGTAAAGCTTCCAATCAAGTCTGATATACTAGGAGTATTCGTGTCTGTTTTCTCCTTTCCAAAGTTATATCTTTGGCCCAGCTTAAATACTATTCTATTAATTAAGAAACCTATCAAGAAACTTTCTAAGAAATGAAAATATAGAGCAGTGTGTACTTAAAATATAAACTATATTATATTGATACTGGCCAAAAGGATTTCATCACTGATTATTGCTTACACATAAGTAAAAGGTCTTAGTTGAGAACTCATTGTAATACATATTAACTCACCTAGATCTATCTTTTCATATGGGCCAGGGAATACATATTGTGAGTGATAGCATGAAGGACCTAAGTCATCATTTGCCATGACCTGATTTTACTGATAGGGTAGCTATCTCTCAAGAGGCAAGGGCAGGAATCATTAGGATAGAAATTAATTTAGAGGTTGAAGGAAAGAGGGGGTGGTTCTTGGTCCTGATGATGAAGGTTTAGCAGCAGCAGCAGGAGTGCACTAGTCCCAGGAATGGTTTCCCACGGCCGCAGTACTGGTGGTATCAGTCATAGTTATTGGCTGTGACGGCAGCTGTGGTGTCGGTGAGGATGGCAGGAGTAGACTATTGCAGCATAGAACACACGATACAGTGGTGCACACACAGAATCCAGTATATCACGTGGGGCACCTGCAGGAGTCGGTGCCAACTCGTTGACTTGTCATGTGAGTATTTCTTACTATAAATTTTAAGGGAGATCAGATGGTAGGCTCCTCTGACCAGTGAATTTTTCTCCCATTTAGGAAGCCAAAGTATAGTCAGCAGGGTATTGTTGAGCATGGAATTAGAGCAATGGAGTTCACTGTATGATTAAAATGTTTAACTCCTTCTGCCTTGAAGCAACTACTGCCTTGTAGGGTGAGGCGAGCCTGTGAGCAGGTCCTTCCCCCCACCGACAGCACTCTGATGGAAAAGGTGGGCCTCTCCTGTCTCTGTTTCTGTGGGTTGGTTTTTCTTTCTGCTATATTCATACATTCCATCTGGTTATATGCAAATTCTCCACTGCTGACTCTGCTTCTCTGTTCTGATTCACTAGGGGTTCATGTGACTGAATGTCTCAGAGAGCAATTTCATTTCACTTACTCCTAAAGTTTTTTGTTGGTGCATCTCTGTAGCCCCCAGTCATCAACACTAGCTCTGTCCCCAGTGATTTAAAATAACTGAAGAGGGTTGGGTGTTTGGCCTAGTAGTTAAGACTCAGCTGAGATACTGGCATCCTACATTGGAGCACGTGGGTTCCATTCCTGGTTCCAGCTCCTGATTCCAGCTTTTTGCCAACACAGACTCTTGGAGGCAGTGGTAATGGCTCAAGTAATGGGGTTCCTGCCACCCATGTGGGAGACCTGGGTTGAGTTCCCAGTTCCTGGCTTTGGCCACAGCCCAGCCCCTGGCCACTGTGGGCCTTTGAGGAGTGACTGGGAGCATGCACACTCTCTGTGTCCTTCTCTCTCCCCCCCCCCAGCCATCTCTCAAACAAAAATAAAATAAAATATAAAATATAAAACAACTGGGGTTTGGAGTTGTGGTGCAGCAGGTTCAGCCATCACTTGGGGAGCTAGCATCCCATATATGAGTGCAGGTTCAAGTCCCAGCTTCTACCTAATGTACAGGGGAAGGCTGTGGGTGGTGGGTCAAGTGCTTTGTTCCTGGATCCCATGTGGGAGACCTGGATGGATTTCTTGGCTCCTGGCAGCAGCCTGTCCCAGCTCTGGCTGTTGTGGCCATTTGGAGACTGAACCAGTCGATGGAAAATCTCTCTCCCTCTCTCTCACTCTCTCTTTCTGTCACTCTGCCTTTCAAATAAAGTAAATATACCTACATCTATACAACAGCTGAAGGAAACATGCCCCAGAGTTTTCACTGCAGCATTCTCCCATCCACTCCAAACACTACCAGGAGGTCTCTGACAGCACGCAGTGTCTCCCTACGGAGAAGGTGGCAGCCTCCGCAGAGAGTCCCGTGTAAAGGAGGGCCTTTCACTGCCCCAGGCAGCCCGGCAGCAGCGGGAACGCGACAGATGGCTGTGTGGATCCTCATGCAATTCTGCCTCACCGTTTGTTCTCAGAGAAAACGTACCAAGGGAAGAAGAGTGCTATGGCGTTCAAGACACTGATTGGACATTCCTTCAAGTGTGTGAGCGAACAGAGCCTCCAGCTGTCGCATCTGCTTCAGCTGAGAACCACCAATGTCCAACTCCAGGCCTTCGATTTTGAAGGGGACCGCTTTGGAAATGGTAAGTTGAGGGCGCATCAGGTCACAAAAGCAAACTTTGGGACTTGGGGACAGTTTCAAAGTGTGTTTGGTCAGGAGCAAGAATCCCCGTGAGCTTCCTGGCACCATACATTCCACATGGTTCTTATGGCCGAGTTTCTCTGGCCACCTCTCCCTCCCACCCCAAAACCAGACACCTGCACCCACGCATGCCCACAGCTCGCTTGCAGCAGGGGACATCTCCCCTGTGGGACCGACACACACGTTCTCACTCATGGAAACGCCCACCCTGCCTCGGACCAGCACAGAGCACAGTCCCCAGTCTCCCCGGGGACAAACTCCCAGACCTGGTAACACTCAAGCATGCTTGGAAAACAAAGATCCTGAGTATTTGTGATGTCAGAATGGATCCTCCCCCAGTCGCAGAGGGCAGAGCCAGGTGTGGTCATTCAAGATGGGGACCAACATGACCCGCTCTGCTTGGTTCCGAGCTGCTTTTTCTTAGTGTAGAGTTCATCTCCTGATTTCCGCTCTGAGTTTCTACTGCCACACTCAGAGGGAAACTGGGCTTTGGCGGAGCGCCAGGGATGGTCCACGGTGACTTTCCAGAAAAGTCCTTGTCTCCCTGCCGGGCAATCAGTGTTGGCTGGGTTTCTCCGTGTGATTCTTTTCTACATACCAAGTCATGGACTTCAGTCTCTGTGACACCCTCTTGTAAGAACCCAATCTGTTAAAAGTTCTCGAGGATCAAAACCAGATTTAGCTTGAGGTGTAGTTGATTTGCTTTGAGTTCCGTGATAAAGCGAGAGGCAGGTGTAGCGGAAAATGTTCCCTTAGTGCCAAGTGTTTCAGGAAGGAAGCATTTGGGCGCTGCTCGCCTTGGGCCCCCTAATTTCCCTAGGACTTTTCTGAGTCTTGCAGCCTCTGCTTTCGGCCTGCACCTTTCTCATAGGGGCGAAGATTCAATATGAAAGCTCGCTAGTAGGCATCGCCCCACTCTCTCTACCCTCAAAACGTCTCAGGTTGGGAAAGGATTATTTTTAAAATCCACTTGGAAGCTTTGGGAAGCCTCCGAAACCAACGATGGGATCTCGGCATCAGGTGTGCACCTGCTCTTCTTGCCTATCGGCACCGCCGGGAAGCAGCGAGTGAGCAGGTCCCGGAACTCACTGGGCACACGTGGCCTGCCCTCAGCGGTGCTCACAGGGAGATGCAGGCAAGCTCCGCCTTCAGCGGTCGGGGCACAGCGCCCCAGCACAGGCTTCCCGGCTGTCCCCGCCTCCTCTGCCTCACAGATCCGCACAATGCCTTCTGAAAGAGTTCTCTTGTTCACCCCTCATCCATGGCGTCAGCTCAAGCCCCTGTGCAGAGCCTTTGCGCTTTAGATTTCACTCAGATTGCTCAAATGTGAAGATGTACGTCATTCCGTAAATAGTAGCTGCTTCCAGAGAAGGGGGCCGGGAACACGTCACACTACCATGTGGTGTTAAGAAGACGCCAGAGGAAGCGTGGGTAACACTGCGTTGGGTGGTGAGACGGGGGTGCAGAGAATCCTGACGGGCGGGTGACATTTAAACAGGGGCTCGAGGGACCAAGGAGGAGTGAGCAAACGTGAGAGCTCAGCCTTGTCGCAGAGACTGTCCCCAGCTGTGGACTCCTGCCTTTCAATCTCCCCAAATCCTGGAGCCTGCGGAAGGTTTTTTTTTTAGCCTTCCTTGCCTTTCGCTGGCCAAGCAGCCCTTCGGCAAAGCACCAGGGTTGAGGAGACCGCCTGGGCTCGGCGGCTCTGCGCAGGACGAGTCTGTCTCCGCAGAGGCGTACCCTGGCTGCGACCGACCACCACCTCTGAGCCCAGACTCGGATTTCCTTCCCAGCAGCGCCCCCTGCCCCAGACCCGCGGAATCCTCATTCCTCTGGCGTGCGGTCTGGGGTCCGCCCCTGAATAGCCTCCCTCAAGAACCACCAGCGCCACACCTTTCAGACCCACTGGAAGGCGACCCTTTCTCCTCCTCCCTGTTTTCAGCTTCCTGTTGAATGAGGCAGCAGGTGGGAGGCCCGGCCGCTCCTGCTCTCCCTGGGTTTCCTGGTCTGGGAAGCTGCGGCAGACAGGGGCGGTGCCAGGCGCAGCACTTGGGGCCAGCCTGTAACACCTGTTATTCCTACTTCAATTACAGCGAATGAATGCTTCAGTGACAGAAACAGGAGAGAAATCCCTGTGGCTATCGGCCTGAGTTTCACAGCTCTGCTGGTCATTTTGCTAACGGCGTGCCTGGTGGCCAGAAAGAGGCCCAGTAGAGGATATGAACGCATGTAGAGACCTGCCTTCAGACCGAGCAAGGAGCAGGCGGTGGGGAACCTGCCCCGCCTCAGGCCCTTGGGGAGCCCTCAGTTTCCGCCCCACGGCTCCTCTGCTGGCTTGGCAAGGGCAGCGCCACGCCCCCCCCCCCCTTCTCCTTTTGGCTCGGACACCATAGCCCACACCTAAGTCAGACGGGCTGACTTCTAGAATTAGGGAGCGAGAGGCAGACACGTGAATGAGAAGGAGAAAGCAAAATCCCGAAGGGAAATTATTGCAGAGGACATTTTCAAGTTGCGTTGATTTTTCATATACATTTTAAAGAATCTACTATTCTGGTTTCTTTTAAATATCACTTTTTAAAAAAGCAATCCCTTTCAAAATAGATTATAAAGTGAGTTTAAACTCGGGTTTTACTCCAATTTGGGGGGGGGTGGGAAAAGAAAGGACATCTTTACTTAGCATTTTCTTTTTCCCAGAAATCTTTTATTTAAGGAGTACAAACTTTATAGATTACCGCAATTTTGATTTACTTACATTATAGATGGTCTTCATATGGTAGGTTTTTTTGTAATAAAGGACATAGTGTACCCTATGATAATGTATTATTGGTTAAAAAAGAAAGTCTTAGGGAGCTGCCTCATTTCACTTCCTAAATGGGAAACACATATGAAAGATCTTGGCAAACGAAACAGATTCAATAGATGTTAAGTCTCCAATTCCTTCCATTTTATTTGTCATCTGCCTTATTAACACGTCCTCCTGGTGTGTCTCCGTTTTTCTTGGCTACTGTCCTATCCTTGTCAGTTTATTCACTTGGGCCATGGCAGGAGAGCAGGCAGGGGGAGCATTAAGACACTGGGAAACGGGGAGCAGGAGACAGACCTACCTGGGGGAGGCTGAGTACAACCTGCTTTGCTTTTTAGCAAACAGTCACACAAAATTGCTACGCCAGAAAGCTCCTGAGTGGGAGTGATAGGTAAAGGAGGACAAAAAACTCTATTAAAATATAGCTGGGGATGTTATTTTTCGTTTTCTGTTGCACTGACAGTTTCAGTTGGGGCTTTTGTGAGAAAAGGGAAAATAATGGATTTCTAGAAATTCTTAGCTGATTTTATGACCAGGAAGTTTTCTGGGTGGTGGTTGTTCTACATTTTCCAGAGGTGCCACTCATTTTTAATAGGAAGTTTATGAAATTTAGCAACATCTCTGTAACTATTGCTTATCTAGAAAAGTACTGGCACCCCCCACCCCGAGGTATTCTAGTTCTCCCCACTTTCTTGGAAGTGAGGGGGTAGAGAGGGCATAGGGCACTTTTAAGAGAACATTAAGAGCCCCTTAAGACGTGTGGAATGTCAGGAAATGGCCCCCCTTAAAGCAGGAGAGGTTGATGAAAACCTGAGGCCTGAGGTCGAGTGACTCAGCCTTCACCAAGGCGCGGCTGTGGAGAGAGGCAGCCTCTTCCTCCCCTTCAGGCAGCAGCTGCTCCACACTCTCAGGTACCCAAGATGAAGGGCACTGGAAGAGCTTTGTAGTGCCCAGCGCAAGGTGTTTCTTCGCTGTGCCGCTGACCACGTGCAGAGTGGCTCCAGAAAGGTGCATTTCGAATCTGTGGAAGTGCCTCCCACAGCAGAGGAAACCAACAGGCAGAACTTAAGAGGAGGGGGCTGGAGGTTCGTGGAGCAGCAGCCCCCACCCTCAGTTCCAGTTTCCTGCTAATGTGCCTCCTGCAAGGCAGCATCTGATGGCCCAGGTAGCTGGGCCCTGCCACCCACATAGCAGACCTGGGTTGAGTTCCTGGTTCCTGGCTCTGGCCCAGTCCAGTCGTAGCCATGGCAGGCATTTGGGGGAGTGAACTAGCAGATGGGAGACCTTTCTGTCTTTGTCTGTTTCTCCTTCTTTCTATTCCTCTCAAATAAATAAAATACATAATTTTTTTTTAAAGTGGGGGCCGGTACTGTGGCATAGTTTGTAAAGCCACTGCCTGTGGCACTGGCATCTTATATGGGCACTGGTTCTAGTCCCGGCTGCTCCACTTCTGATCCAGCTCTCAGCTATGGCCTGGGAAAGCAGTAGAAGATGGCTCAAGACCTTGGGCCCCTGCACCCTCGTGGGAGTCCCAGAAGAAGCTCCTGGCTTTGGATCAGCACAGCTGTGGCCATTGCAGTAATTTGGGGAGTGAACCAGTGGATGGAAGACCTCTTTCTCTGTGTTTCCCTCTCTCTGTCTGTAACTCTGCGTTTCAAATAAATTAAATAAGTCTTTAAAAAAGTAAAGTGAAGAGTGAAGGGATAGACTGTTCATTTTAATTTTCCTAGCATCTTGAATGAGTTCTTTTGGGTGACTGCTACTGCCTAGGCCCTGGTTATCTAACCCACCACCTCTAATACCAACTGTTCTTTTTTTAAAAAAAAGATTTATTTATTTATTTGAAAGGCAGAGTTATACACAGAGAAAAAGAGAAAGAGAGAGGCAGATCCAGAGAGACAGAGAGATCTTCCATCTGCTGGTTCACTCCCTAAATGGCCACAACAGCTGGAGCTGAGCCCATCTGAAGCCAGGAGCCAGGAGCTTCTTCTGGGTCTCCCACATGGGTGCAGGGTCCCAGGTACTTTGGCCATCTTCTACTGCTTTCCCAGGCCATTGGCAGAGAGCTGGATCAGAAGTGGATCAGCGGGACTTGAACTGGCACACCCATTTGGGATGCTGGCACTGCAGGCAGTGGCTTTACCCACTATGCCACAGCACCAACACCATCATCTGTTTTTAATCCAGTGATTAAGACTGACGATTTCATCTGAATGAGCAGTGAAGAAATGCTCAGATTCCTTGTTCACTCGCAGTTCCGCCCACTTTGTGCAGGGGAGAATGGAGAGCGACAGAGCCAGGCTTCTTGTCATGCCTCCCCCTCTCCCCACCACATATATCCACCCCAAGAAGCCTATAAGGGAAGAAATTCTGTGAGCTCGTACTTGGCTTCCTAAACCTAGAAAGAGAAAAGAAATGGGTTTCTCTGTCTTCCTTTCTAACCTAGTAGGTGCATATGGTTCCCAGGAGGTCTAGGAATGGTGAGCACAGGAACTGAGGCCATTGAACTGGGGAACTAGTCCCAAACCCCGGGAGAGCTCCAAGCTGTAGCCATCTCCAGGCTACAGTAAGAGGTAGAATCCAAGGTCTAGCTTAAAGGAAACCTTAACGGGTCGCAGGTGTAATGGGCAGAAAGACCATAGGAAACTCCATTTCTGCACTCACATGCATGAGCACGAGGAAAACAACCCGAACCGCCATTTTGCAGAACTACAGCAGCCAGGGCCCGCGCAGTAAATCACAGTTAATCAGAGGAGGGAGGGTGTACTAATTTGCGAGGCCTGTCCTAACCAGGCGCCACGGACTGCTGCCCTAACAACACCTGGACGCCTCCAGCAGCAGACGTCTGTGCTCTCCTCGTTCAGGAGGCTCGAAGGCCAAGGGCAAGGTGTTGGCAGTGCTGGGGTCCCCGGAGGCCTCTCTCCTTGGCTGCGGATGGCCTGCATCCTCACGTGGCCTTCCTCTGCCTATTCTGTCTCCAAACAGCCTCTTCCTAGAAGGACACCACTCCTGCTGGGTTAATGGCCTCCTTAGAGACCTGCAGCTCTGATAGGGTCTGTTCTGTGGTCCCTTGGTTAGGGCTTGAACAAAGGAAAGGGAGAGGAGACACAGCTGTTTTCCTTCTATGAAATTCAACTAAGAGCCAAATCAACGACTTATAAAATCGCACTTGTCTGATCCTGTTTAAATGAAAGTACTTGTGTTTCTCTACTCGTATCTTTATAGTTCCAAAGAAAGATGCCTGAAATAATGTTTGTGTTAGCAATGACGATTTCTGGGTGCATGTTTTTGGGGTGACAGGCTCTTACTTTTCATTGGTGATTTTCTTGATTATTTTAATGATTTGTAATGTGCACAAGCTGCTCATTAAAAATAAAATGGCTTTTCTTTAAGTATGCACATGAGTACACACACACACACAGAGAAAGCAAATCCTTGGAAAGGGTTGGTGGTTCATTGAAGTAGAACTACAGTGATCGAATAACTACTTCTCTTTATGTACTCGTCTGCATTTTAAAAAATGTTTAAACAATGTTTACTTAGACAATTGAATAGTTTAACAAAATTACATGGAAGGTAAAAGTTGCCTTCTAGTTCCATCCCAGATTTTTGTGTATCTTTTCACAATGGACACACACACACACACACATTTATTTGTTTTGGTACATGTGATGCTTCATGGGTCTTGGGGAAATATTTTCATATCACACTGGGACTACCACATTCTTTTCAGTGGCTACATTGTATTCCATTGGATGAATACCATTTAAAATTTTCAAAAACTTTTAATTTTTAAAATTTAAAATAGTCTCTCTTTAAATGGACATTATTGTAAATGCCTTTTATAATTGTATGGCTACGTCTTTAGTGCAAATTCCTAGAGCTGGAATAAATAGATATGTGCTTTCTATTTTTAATTTTGTGGTTTTTTTTTCCAACTCATTTTAGTTTCTTGTCAAATTTCTTCCTTGTTTAGAAAATTTAGATAATAACCAGAGCATCATGAACTCCATCAGAGCGTCTCGTGAAAAGCAGCGTCCCCCACCCTACCCGGGGAGACCAAGCACTTTCAGCTAATCTTCATTTCTTCTGGTGGTTGGCTCTATAATTCTACAAAATTAAAAAACTTATTATACTATTCCTTAACTTGCCAGCTTTAGACTTTCTGCTATGGCACATAAAGTTTTTTGGTTACAGCCCTATTTTTGGTTAAATCAAAAGCTATATTATAACTAAGCAAATGTTGCCTATTGCCAAATCAAGTAGTGTACTAACAGCTTTTTTTCCTGAAATCTCCCATCTCCCCTGACCTCCTCTGACACTTGTTTTTGGACCCCAGGTACACAGAATTGGGTTAATGGTGATTCTTGATTCAGGATACAAACACAGTATTGGACCATGCAAAGACCTTACACATACATCTTCTTATCTATCCCTGAAGAGAGAGAGATTTAGGTCTCTACCTGCTTACCCTTCTCTCCCAAACATCCCCCACACTGAGTATTCTATCAAGTTCCCCTCTCTCCCCAGGACCCTGCATCTTTCTCCAGTTGATCCCTAAAGTTGTTTTTGTGAAATGCATGAAGTTTGTATTTCTTAAACAAAAGGTTTCTGGGGGAGGAGGGGAGAAACTAATTAGTGGCTGATCCAGTCAATGACAGCTTTAAATGAATTAAGCAACCGCTCTCTAATGGAATAAAGAAAAACCAGTCTTGATAAGTTCGCCAATTTCATTTCTAAATCATTTGGTCTATTTTCTAACGTTAGCTAAAAGTAGCACAAGAAAGCGTCAGGAGCACTGGAGAAGGTTTTAAAAGTGGGTAAGCGTCACAGGTTTTCGAGAGATCATCTGAAACCTACTGACGGAGCTGGGCTCTAGGGTGGGCACCTCCCACTCTGCAGGAGACGTTGCCTGCAGAATGACATTGCCCGGGGTTCAGAATGGGGGGCTAACGATTAGGGGACAGTAGGTGCTGAGAGGATGAGGTTCTTTTACCTACCTGCAGACACTCCTTATTTGCCTACTTTATCCATGAGGTAAACGGACTGCCCAAGGTCACACCATTTGCTAGTGTTGGAACTGAAAGTCGAGTCCCGAGCACTGGTTCTTCCAGCTCCAGCCCGCCGCCTCCTGGTCTGTCATCGCCGTCTCACCCGCATGTCGTGTTTGTTTTTTCTCTTAGTGGATGAGTGTTCGTCTGACTACACAGTTGTGCTGCCCGTCATTGGGGCCGTCGTGGTGGGTCTCTGCCTTGTGGGTATGGGTGTCTATAGAATCCGCCTAAAGTGCCAAGCATCCGGATACCAGAGGATCTAATTGGTGCCCAGGGGAGATGAAAATCCTGGCGTTTGGAGGATTCTCTCATCGTGTCCAGAATGGTGGGGGCTTCTCTGAGAGTGTGGGTCCCCCAGAACATGTAGACTCCGATCTGCCGCTGAAACCAATGAGCCATTTGTTATCGAAGTTCACACGGCACATCAGCGATGTCCAGTTTGGGGTTTTTGCTCATTTTGTGAAAGATTTCACGAGCTCTTTAAGAGGATTTTCCAGTTTCCTTCAGCTTAGTTTAACCCAAGTCCACATGTGACATATGTTGAATTGACAGCATGTATGTGAAGTGGCGTGTGCTTCCAAATAATGTCCCGAAGTGTCCATTTTAATTAATCTGCATGAGAGTTTTATTTTCCCTTTGATCCTTTCCACTTCAAAATGTCTTCTCTGTGTCTGTCAGTTGGCCTTCGGTGCTTTTGCTGTGTTTTATGTGACGCACATACGATTCTGAGATACTTACCTCCTTCACCACTTTGAATGTGTTTTCTTTTTTAAAAAATTTGTCAAAAAGAATAACATAACTCAGGTTGTGTAGGTTTTAATATGAAACTAACAAGGGGACCAGATCAGCTTCTGTTTCTTCGTGTGATGCCTCCTGTTCAAGATAAGAATTCAGTGGCTACAGATATCAGAAGTGAGTCGTAAGCAAGAAACTAGCATTATAGCCCTTAATTACTGAACACATGTCCCAGACACTAGGCTAAGCAGCATATATATATATGCATATATATATACATATATATATATCTTATTTAATTCTCACAACTTACAGATGTGTGAACTTAGGCCTCAGGGAGTGAAACCACTTAAACATCACCCACCTAACAGGTGGCAGAGCCAGAGCAGAGCTCATGCTGGTCTGGTCCCAAGGTCTTTGGTCTTTTCAGCATACTGAGTTGACTGCAGGAGCAATGGCACTAAGCACTTCCTGAAGCCACAGCCCAGCATTTGCCCCATTTTCACAGCGGACATGGATTTATCCAGAGCCCTAAGACGTTGGCATAGATCAAAGGAGCGCTTTGCAGGTGGTGAAACAGCCTTTCTTTAGTAAGTCCTCCACTCCCGTGAGGGACCCAGAGAAGGCTCTGCAGCACCTAAGCCATGTTCTCATTTCTATGGGCTTGCTTAGCTGTGGCTTTAAAGATGAAACAATGGAGAAAACGTCTCGAAATATTTCAGTTAGTGCCTTCAAAAAACAGAAATCTGTTACATTTCTTTCTTGAAAGAAGCACCCTCTGCGCGCGCCACCTTGTGGTCGTGTGCTGCTCCTGCACATTTATATCCCTAAGTTCTGATGCCGTTTAGGTCATTCCCCACAGCAGCCTGACAGGAATTTTGGCCCTGCTGGGTTTTGCTGCTAAAGAAAGGAACTCAAGTCAAAATTTCAGCAGAAAAGACCAGGTAACACTAGACTTCTTCAGTAAAGGAATAATTCACGTCAACCTGGAGGACAGACTGACTTCCCTGAGGCGTTCCCCTATGAGGCAATAGGGTTGGGGAGGTCCTGGCTTTAGTTTTCATAGACTATGAACTGTACAAAAGTGTTTGTAATAAAAATGTTGTGGAGATTCGTTCATGTCATTTCTTTCTCACGATTTGTCTTTTGTTCTACTGAAATTTTTGTTTCCAGTCTCAGTGGTAAGCCTGTCTTATGAAGCTTGCTGCTTAACAAAGTCATCTTGCTGTAGATAATTTATTTTTTAAAGATTTATTTATTTATTTGAAAGTCAGAGTTACACAGAGAGGAGAGGCAGAGAGAGAGAGAGAGAGAGAGAGGTCTTCCATCTCATGGTTCACTCCCCAGATGGCCGCAATAGCCAGAGCTGTGCTGATCTGAAGCCAGGAGCCAGGAACTTCTTCTGGGTCTCCCACATGGGTGCAGGGACCCAAGGACTTGGGCCATCTTCCACTGCTTTCCCAGGCCATAGCAGAGAGCTGGATCAGAAGTGGAGCAGCCGGGTCTCAAACTGTCGCCCATATGGGATGCTGGCACTTCAGGCCAGGGCGTTAACCCACTGTGCCACAGCGCCAGCCCCTGATAATTTATTTCTTATTCTCTTCTCCCTCACCACATTATTACTAGGTAGGAAGGCCCTGTGTAGGAGAAATGAAATTCCTGAGAAGATAAACCTCTTTAAAGTCACAAACCACAATCTCTCCACTCTTAGTCCAGACTTACCAACCATGTTACCATTTGTTTTGTTATTCGTATTATTCTTTTTCTCTCAGACAGAAAGAAACAGGTAGAGCTCCAACTGCTGGTTCACTCCCCAAATGACTGCAGCACCTGGGGCTGGGCCAGGCCAAAGCCAGGATCCAGGAACTCACGCCAGGTCTCCCACGTGGGTGGCAGGGACCAACTGGTTGAAACATCCCTGCTGCCTCCCAGGGTTGGGTGAGTGGGAAGCTGGAATTGGGAGCCAGATGGATGTTGAACCAGGTGCTCTGATACAAGACACAGGTGTCCTAAACCAGGTCTTAACTGCTGTGCCGACGGCCTGCACACACTCACACATGACTGCTTTGCTTAAATGCTTCGCTTAAATGAGTTTTCCCACTCATTCAACCAGCGCCCGCTAAGGACCTAACAAGTGCCAGACCCTTTGGCAGGGGCTGAGATGAGTAAGAAGAGATCATGCATTAGTTCTCCATTGTGATCAAGAGAAAGACTGAGCAAGACAGAAGCGGTAGTGGCCTCTGCCACCCAGCCATGCAGGCGACATCCCAGCACTTCTCTGTATTCCGCTGATCGCGTAGCCCATGCCTGCTGCAGTGCGGGAGGGTGTACAGCCCGGGCGAGGAAGGCGTCCTGGACACCGGCTACCACAGCTCCCTACGGTCAAGGGCACACTGTGGAGCTAGTGCTTCCCATTTTTTTGGAAAGTGCAGGCAAATGAATTCCAGGGTACATACAAAGAAAAGTGGCCCGCCAGGAACCTGCTCAGAGTGGTGACAGCAGAGCCCTCCCAGCCTGCTCCCAACCCCACCTCCTCAGGAGGGCGGCCCCCGGCCTGTTGCCCATGAATGCTGGTTGTTGACCCATTGCTCTACCGTGCCAATGCTGGGGCTTCACCATTGCAAGTGGCCAGGACACCCCCACACCACCTCCACCAACACATCCCAACTTGCTTCTGCTGCTTCCCACCCACATTGTTAGCTGGCACATTGTCAGGTATTAGTAACTGAAACGGAGTGACACGTTATCCCTCCCAAGGCCACTTGCATTTCGTCCAAAGGCTTCAGGCCAGAGCATGAGATTGGCAAGAGAAGCCTTGCAAGGCAGCGGGATCTCCTGACCTCCCTCAGTTCCCCCCACCTTCCAGTACCCCGGATAGACAGCTCTGATTATGAGGCTGATCTGCAGCCGTATGGCGGCCCCAGCTTCCTCCCTACTCGCAGGGCCTGGTTCTGTCACCTTGGCTCACCATGCCACAGCAGGTCCCACTTCCGTGCCTTCCATGTTGACCTCCTCCTTGGGGGGCCTGTGCCCTGCTCCTCCTTGGAGCTTCTGTTTCATTCCTTTTCGCTCAGGGCAGGACACAGACTTTCTCCAGCTTCCCCACCCGTGGCAGATCCACCCCACACACCCAGCCACCCTTGATCTCATCGCTCGGTTCATTTTCTTCCTTCACTCAATCCCCAAGTGAAATGATCCAGCTTGTTTGCCTAGTTTGCTACCCAGCTGTCATACGAGTTTCATGATGGGGTGGGGGAAGACAGGGCAGGGGAGTGGCATCTAGTCTCTGTTCCAGCCTGTGACGGCCACGAGAATGTGCCTCGCACACCTCCACCTCCAGGATGCATCGTGCACCAAGGACCCCAGCTGCTGCACCACAGCTACGAGGTCCTCCGCAGGCAGCTTCCAGGCAGCCGCTGAGCATGCCAGGAGACTAAGGCAGAACCATTCTTGGTGGACGCAGGACCCACTGACAGCTGGCTTTGGCTGGGGAACTCCGCAGGGGCTGAACTTTCCCTAGACTGCGCAGCAAAAGGGTCCCTTGACCCACCTTTCGTTCCCCTCCTCTTCAGTCGGATTCCAACCTGCACCGTGATCCGGAACCTCCCCCGCCCCCTCCAGCTCCTTTACCTTTCTCTCCCCCAGGCTTTTCCCCTAATAAAATTCCCACATGCTTACTCCCATCTTGGCACCTTTTTCCTGGACCCAGACCAACACGAGTGGTACTGAGCATGGTCCCTAAAATGAGTCAGTCAGGAGGGGATTTGGAACTGGTTCACACACCACGCAGCTTCTACAGGGGACACTGTCCTGGTTGACAGGTGGGCCTCGCAAGTGCCTGGCGCCAAATGACAGCTCATTTGCTAGAGAGTTCATTGGTGGTGCCCTGAGCAAATGTCTTCTTGGAGGAGAGTGCTGTGAAGGGGTGGTTTTGCAAACCTTTCACGGATGGGGGGAACAGTGGCCGTGGGACACCTGAGTGGGCTGGTGCCGGCTAAATGCTGCCGAAGACGCTGCAGAAGAAAAATGAGACACAAGGAGCAGGTGACAAGCAGTTAAGTGATAAGTGTGAGGACCACAGAGCCTCGGTGGCCTCCTACAAAACTGGCGTTATCTCCCATAGTGGAAAAATTGGCGCAGTTAGTCAAAAAATCTGAGAATCTGCAGGGTTTCAGAGGCGTTTGAATGCCCGGCCCAGGCTGATCTGGTATGGGAAAGGCCGGGTCTTGGCGGTGCGGTGGCAGGGAGGGAGGAACCTAGATTCCTGTGACATGGGACAGAGGCAGCTGGGTGGATGCCTCCGGGAATGCCCTACTCTACAAAAGCACAGAACTTTTGGGATTTCAAAGGCAGCCCTGCTCTCACTAATAGGTCCCTGCCCTTCAGCTGCCAGGAGGCCACTACCACAGCCTGTCGCACACACAAGGCCGGAGTGGGCCTCTATGGGAGATGTCTCACTTTCTCTCTTGGGTTTCAGGCTGAGAACCAGGGTTAAATTCCAGGCGGGAACATGCTGGGCCTGATAAGTGGGGAAGAGACCATATATCAAAGAAACTGCAAGGATTAGCAGGCTGGTACAGCAGGAACTAGGTGCACACTCCTGGGGTTGAATTTTGAAGGTTCTTTTTTTAAGATTTTATTTATTTATTTGAGAGGTAGAGTTACAGACAGTGAGAGAGAGAGACGGAGAGAAAGGTCTTTCTTCCTTTGGTTCACCCCCCCAAATGGCTGCAACGGCCAGAGCTGCGCTGATCTGAAGCCAGGAGCCAGGTGCTTCTTCCAGGTCTCCCACGCAGGTGCAGAGGCCCAAGGACTTGGGCCATCTTCTAGTGCTTTCCCAGGCCACAGCAGAGAGCTGGATGGGAAGAGGAGCAGCCGGGATTAGAACCAGCACCCATATGGGATGCCGGTGCCGCAGGGGAGGATCAACCTACTGCACCATGGCGCCGGCCCCTTGAAGGTTCTTGAGCAAAGAGGCCAGCATGTTAGTCTGGATGAGTAAAAATTCATGGAGTTGAGGGCAGATTCTTGGAACATGGTGTTTAACACCTAGCAAGGACCCCAGAAAATGGGCACACTCCCTACAGAATGGCCCTTAGGAACCTGAAAGAAATGATGGCCAACTCTCAGCGAAGTGGGAATGTCTAGGGAAACTGTTGGGATGGACAACATCTGTAAGGTCAGGATGGGATGAACGTACTTTGTCAGGTCAAGACACACTGGAGACTTACATCCCACAGGCGGTGTCAGAGGACACAGCACTCACCAAGGCGTCAGGCGTGCAGTGTTGAGATAGATGTTCATCACCGACAGCCTCAGTGTGGCTCTCCTCTGTAGCGCAGAGGTGGTGGCAGGAGAGGGGTCCTAGAGCCAGGGTGCTGGAATGATGGGTTCTTCTGAACGCTGTGGGCCAGGGGCCAGCCATTAGCCTCTACGAGCCGGGAGGTACCACTACCATAACCATTCGCAAGGTCAGGGCGTTAGTCAGCAGGGCTTGACCTACAGGGATTGCAGATACGGTTGATGGAGGATGCTATGCTCAAGAGCAAAATAGGGGCAGCACATCTGTAAGCAACAACAGAAGCACAAGAATAGACGAGCAGGCGGCTGAGATGGTCACCCCAAAAGACACCGTAATCCCTTGCTCAGTTCCCAGGCCTGAGTCAGTTTTCAGATCTGGAACCCATGGACTGAAGGAGTAGCTATGTCCTCAGGAGGAAGGACCTCCTTAAATTCTCCCAGATCTTAGCAGGCCGGCATGGTACAGCGGGTAAAGCCGCTGCCTGTGACGCTGGCATCCCATATGGCACCAGTCATGACCTGGACGCTCCACTTCTGATCCAGCTCCCTGCTAACCGCCTGGGAAAAGCAACGGAAGATGGCCCTTGAGTTTGGGTTCTTGCCACCCACATGGGATACCTGAATGATCCTGGCTCCTGGCTTTGGCCTGGCCCAGCCCCCAGCCATTGTGGCCAGATTCTGGGGATTGAACCAGCGGATAGAAGATCTCTCTCTCTCTCTCTTTCTCTCTCTCTTTCTCTGCATAACTCTGATTTTAAAAGAAATAAATAAATTCTTAAAAAAAGAAAATTCTTCCAGTTCTTTGTTTAAAACAACATATGGC